CAAATAAGGGACATTGCAGACAGTCTAGAAAAGGTCAGTGATGATTTACCTACTACACTTAAAGTCTACTTGACAACAGAATGTTATCTTTTGTGAAGGACTAGGCACTAAAAAGTTAGAGAAGAAGAATGAATGCTGTCAAATTAAGCAAGAAGAGTACTTACAAACTAGGAATGACAAAGAGATAATCATGCTGACATCAAAACATGTGCATAAAATAACATCTACTGTTAAAAAGTGTGAAGATTTTTGTTTGTAATGAATATTTTGACAGATATGTCATACAGGTTTCACCTCTTCTCCAAATTTCTATTCTATTAACGCAAAAGAACAAATGCAATAAAAACATTTTTTTAGCATAGTAAATGCACGAATATGTGAATATATATTTTAAGATATACATGTGATTTCAAGGAGCACACGGAGGTTAAGGATTATATCACCTGACCTTTTCAGTATTTTTTGATTTATTTACTTAGTTAATCTCCTACCTCTGTTTTTAAGCTAAACCAGGTAGGAAACTTCCATTGGATTTCTATTTACAAAAGATGTGAGATATTCTCTAGGTACTTAAAAGATGCTGATCCAAGCCTCATAACAACAGTGTGAACAAGTGCCCTTTTCAGGTCATGGATTTTTCACGCAGAGAAGAGAGATCTAGGAATATTCTTATTGTTTGTCTCCAGATGGAAAAAATATGTTCTCATTTCTGTGCATTTTAATCTATGATGTGATTTGTTCCACACTATGCCATTGTCAATTCACTTTGAAAACTGTGTAGAATAAACTCACATCAATCAATTTATACAAATGTGTGTGTGAGTATGTGTGTCTGAGTGTGTGTATATTGCCATATATGCCATCTTACTGTTTGCCCATTTAAAGTCTGTGCTGGGTTAATTGCTGCCAGCAACCACACCTGACTCTTGCTCCCTCCCATCTTCTGCAGTCTGGGATCAAAACAGAAGGAAGGCAAGAAGGCCCATGGATGAAGATAACAACAGTTCAGTCAGTAAAGCAAAAGCTGCTCAAGTGACCAAAGCAGAAAAAAATTCTTTGAGTGCTTCCCATTGGTAGGCAAATGTTCTGCTACATCCTGGGAAGCAGGGCCCTTGGCAGACATGACAGTTGCTTTGAAAGGTGAAGACCACAATCAGAAACTTCCCTCTTCCTACTCCTTTCCCTGAGATTCTTATTGCTGAGCATGAGAGTACAGTATGGAATATCCATTTGATCAGTTTGGTTCAGCTGTCTCAACCATGTCCACTCCCTAATTCTTGTCCACTCCAACCCTACTTACTTTGAAGGAACATGAGATGGAGAGAGAAAGCCTTGATGTTGTTCAGCAACATCAAGTATTGTTCAGCAATAGATAAATGATTGCTGTGTTATCAATATTTTAGCCACAAATGCAAAGGACAGCATCATATGGCTTGCTATGAAGAACATTAACTTCATTCCACCCCAACTCAGTTCAAAATCTCGTTTCATACTAGCAAATGTGTGGAAAGGGACAAATTTTATACTGCCTCTAGCTTTCTAATTATTACCGTGTTGCACAATGAGAAAACTATGAGACTACATCAGGAGTAAACCTAAAGATAATACTGCACCAAGAAAATATTGACAGCTCTGGTCAGTTTTTTGAAGTAAACTTTGACTGGCAATGGAAAACAGAAAAGAACTAGAGACCACAGGAAGAGGAAAGCGTACTACTATATTTGGTCACACAAGTGGGACAACCTAATCAGGTCTTAATGTCATAATGACCTTAAAGACTTCTATGTAACTAGAAGATAGAAATAATAGAACTAGAACTACCTAAATATATACATACTTGTAAGTATTCTATTAAATTTATACTGTAAATATAAAAATGTTTTAGATGTGGAGAGTGTACCAATTTTTCACAATAGCATGGCCTTGCTGACCATGTTGAAAAATGGGTGGACATTTCATGTTAGTATAAAAGGATGCACAGATGAGTTTTCAGTAAAACTTCACTATGATTTTTTTTTTTTTGTTAACACAGTCTGAAATAGAGCGTTTTGTAGTTATTTAAATATTTTTCCTTATCACTTAAATTTAATGTAGTTCTCTCTGGAAAGACTTCAGGACAGTAGGAATAACTGACATGGTGACAACTACCTAAGAATTATTACTATAGAGTAGAGCATAAAACCTTAGAACCACTTCTAGAATCAGATGGATTTACATCTGCAAAATCTCAGATTTACAATGACAGAATAGGCAGTCTTGTATACTTTAATGCCAAAGCAGGTAAGACAAGACAAGAACTGAACTTTTCAAATGAATCAGGGATTCTTTGTCTCCTATCAAGTATGTCTTTCTACTCTACTAGAAAATCATGGCAATTCTGTCCCTTGTTGACAAGCTCCAGGGCTTAGTGGAGTGACGGTACCTTAGAACCAACAACAAAACCAACATCAGCAGCAGTATTTTGAGCAGCATGGGGAAATGATTTAAAGAATGATCACTAAGACTACATTAAACCTTAAATGGGCTTATACTTTCCTCTCTGGTGAAATGGATTCTCTTCCAGATCCCAGCTAAAGATCTATAATGCAGCTGAAGATGTCTTTTGGAGTTTCCACGACTATTTTGAGGAAGTAATAATAAGTTATTCAAGCCAGTCATCAAGACATTTTTATACAAACCAGATATTATTCAATATCTAAATCAAGTGGATTTTATCTCTGTTTAGACTATTTGAACAATAAATATATTGGAAGATGATAAAAGAAATAAAACCTCCAGACTGAACACAAACTCTTCAAAAGAATAACCAATACAAGAATAGCAGAATGTCATGGGAAAGCTATTTGATACTTAAAACATATTTGCAGAATGTTTCTGTAATTAGTTTTAGTAATTTAACACATATTTTCTTTAATAATGAACAATTAATCACAGGGTAAATAATAAAATAAAATTTCAAGAAAGAAGATGGGATTTTGTAAATAGGAATAAAGTAAATTATTCTAGTCCTGGTTCCTCATTTTCTCTTATATTCAAATATCAAAACCTGAAACAGAGCAAATAGCTCACCTCTTTCCTTTGAAACTAATTAAAGATAAAATAAAACATGCTCTATAACTGTCACACAAATGAACAAGTGGAAACACAATTTCCAATAACAGAAAAAAGAAATAAGTTTTTCTATTATTAGAATCATGTCAAACATACACAGTACTTTCTTTTAATGTGGAAAAGTCATCATCAGTAGCAAAAACTTTTTCCACTCACTTTAACTGTAGAGGCCAAAAGCTACATATAAGCTTAGCTAAAGTGACACTTGGAAGGCCTCTGGAAATTTTTTTGTGTGCTATGGTCCCCAGTGCCCTTATTTCAGTTATGGGAATGGAGTATGCAGTCAGTTGATTCATTGTCACACAGAAGCCTCTGTCTGAGCCTTCTAATGCTAAGTAAAGGAGATAAAATTTATATGTGCACAGCAAGAAGTTGAGCTTGAGAAAAAAAGAACAAAGGCTATGTTAATGTCCAGAAATTCTGGTATCTTTGGTTACTACAGTCAACAAGACATCTTTTCCTTCACTTACAGAAATGTTGCAGGTGGTGAAACAATTTTTTCTTTGCACAGATGTGAGACATCAGCATAACAACTAAACTTCTTGGAGCAGAACCAGAGAATTCATAACATTAATTTTTAGGTTCATCAATATTACAGATAAAAGAATGTCTCTAATGGAGCACTGGTGGATACTTTGCTAAGTTTTAAATCGTTTGGGTTCCAGTCACGCTGTTGAAATACAAAATACAATGCAAGAGCTTTGTCTGCACATTTTTTCCTTTTTAAATGGAGGTAGGTTACAATTTACAGCTACTAGTGAACTGAAAATGCTCTGCAGTTAGTAATGAAATAATCCAGTTAGAACACAGCTCAAATCTCTCTATACCACACCTTAAAAATGCCATATCTTCAAATAAGTTGCCAAATACACAGTGTGGTGCAAACCCACAGCACACCTGCTGAAGTAAGGAAGACCACGAAAAATTTAATGAAAGATTTGGAGCAAAAGGCTACATGGAAGGAAATGCAACACAGAAAACAGAACTAAGAAATTAAATTCATTCAAGATGTTGAAAAAGGGACAAACATTTGCTGCAAATCTGTAGCGAAACTATTGGTATAATATAGAATATGATAATATAGTTATCTTTATGAACCTCTTCATAAACATGTAATGGCTCTTGTCTCTACTGATTCAGGAGCAGCGACAAAGCCTGTCCTTTGACCAATTCTTCCAGAAAACAACAATTTGTGTAAGTGAGGAAATCTTATGATCTTGACACTTACCATAAAATTTTGAACTTATTTTGAATTATGATTTGTACCTGATAAACTTGGTAGGCAAATTTGTGAATGATTAAGTAAAAAAAAAAAAAAAAAGAAGCTCAATTACTATCCCTGCTTTTACATTGTCATTTAATGTGGATGGCTACAAGGACAATTAAGATGTACATAGCATATTCAGAATGGGGACTACAGTTCAGACTTCAGAGCATCTCTCCATGATACTCTGTCCTGGTAGCAAATATGCCTTGACCCCTTCAGAACATTTTCAACCTGAAAGATGAAGCATCTAAGCAGAAAGATGTGAGGCAGTTGGAACTGAGAGAGTTGGACACTGAAAATCTGAAACTAAATAATCAATAACAGAAAATCTCACAATTTGCTTTAAAAGAGAAAAATTAGAAAGGAACATACGTAAGGAGACAACAAAGTATAGAAATTATTGAGGGAAAAAGACAGTAGAATTGCTGGGAATTAAGTGAGGATGTATTTTGTACCAAATAAATTTGAACTTTCTGTTTTACAAAGCAGCTAATCATCTTCCCCTATCCTCAAGTATTTATGAAGAGTCAATAGTAATGACACCTTATATGTTTTCCTGTGTTTTCCTAAATATAATTTATATTAAATACAGAGTCAGTAGTTGATATTTAAAATATTTTTATTTATAACTATATGCAACACTTTATACAGAAATGATTACACAGAATGAAAAAAGCATTATCTTGTCAACATACAGCACATATAGCACAGGAAGGACATCAACCTGTTGGATCGAGTCCAGAGGGAGGGCTACAAGATGATTAGAAGGATGGAGCACCTCTCCTACGAGCAAAGACTGAGAGACTTGGGTTTGTTCAACCTGGAAAACAGATGGCTCAGGAGTAACCTAATTGAGGTCTTCCAGTACCTGAGTGGAGCCTACAAGAAAGATGGAGAAGGACTTTTTACAAGGATACGGAGTGAGAGGACAAGAAGGAATGGATTCAAACTGAAAGAGGGTAGGTTTAGAAAAGATATTAGGAAGAATTCTTTATTCTGAGGGTGGTGAGGCACTGGAACAGGTTGCCCAGAAAAGCTGTGAATGCCCCATCCGTGGAAGTGTTCAAGGCCAGGTTGGATGGGGCTCTGAGCAACTTAGTGAAAGGTGTCCCTTCTAACCCAAAACATTCTATGATTCTATGATTCTACAAACATATACTTGCAGTTACCTTCCCATAAACTTATGCCTTTTTAAATCCTGAATATTCTTTCTCAAAGGAATTCAAGATACTTAGTGCTATATATATAATAATGGTGCTTTGTAACCTTCACAGTAATTTTTTTTAAAAGAACCCTACCTTCAAACAAGGTTTCTTTGTAGAAAAAAAATTCAAGTGTAGCATTCAGCAAATCTTAGTGACTATTAACTGATCTTTTTGCAGGAGGTTCATTTGCTCATTACTTGATGAGTAAACAGATTTTCTGCACTAAAATACACATGAGTTCACTGTCTGTAATTTCTGACCTTACATCATAATTTTGCAGTTTTTTATGGATATCTAGGGGTGTTTGAACATCATCAGGTGACCTTTCCTTCTCTCATGCTAATTGAATGATGTATTTTAGTAATTTCAACGCATCTTGGATTTCAAATCTGAATACTAATACATCTTTCTTTTTTTCTACAAGAAAAGGTACATAAACATTATATGTTCACTTCTGCACGATTGATTTCTCTTTTTAAAGATCTTTTCCTAAATCTAACCTGAATGCTCAGAGCTAGACAAGCTTTGGTTTGTCTCTCCATCAACAAACATTGTATGAAATCATGTTTTCTCAATGTAGAATATTTTCTCATCCTCTGGTCTACCCCATCTGCAAGTACGACATAATATTCCCCCCAAATATAATGACTCTGTTGAATTCACTGGATATTTTATTGGCAAATATATTCAAAGAAAGGAAATTAAAAATCAGTCTTATGGATATATTTGAAATATATTTGAAAAGTTGGGGTTATTTCTATAAGATATTATCTGGCTGTCATCTGTATTTAATATAGATGATGAAAAACTAAATAGAAATTGTGTATTTCAATTCTTTAATTTTCGTAATGGTTGTGGAACTGCTCCAGGAGCTGTAACTGTACCAGAGTGTAATCTTTTCTAAACATCTAAGTAAAGTGTAACAGAAATTATGTGCACACACAGACAGCATAAAAAGAGGTAAGAAAGTACTAGCCTACATGGTTCCCCTTCCAAGCTCTGTTAAATGTAGGGTATTATTTATTTCAAACTAATTTCTTTAGTACTAACATGACTTCTCACGTATGAACAGACTAGAATTCCTCTCATATCATAATATTGTCTCTAAATTAATATTACTTCATTGTGTAGTTACCTTGTGTGGTGCAAAGTCAATTTAGCAAGCCTGAGATATTTCTTCAGTTGTATCTGACCTGGAAGATAAAAGTCATGAAGTGATGTAACATAAAAGACGTCAACTATTCTACATCCCAATTTACACAAGCACAAATTGCTATAGAGTGGTTACAGTACATAGCACGTGAGGTGGCGGCTATAATTCTAGAAATTTTCATTTTGAAGCAAGGCATTTGCATGTAGCTCTCAATAGGTTTCCTGAAATTAAACTAGAAAACAAAATTATTATTGGGGAATGAAGGGAAAAATAAATTAAATTGAAATAGTAATTTCTAAAGTACTTTACACATGGAAGTTAAAACATTATGTAAGCAGAAATGGTAGAGCAGCATCACACACACACAAATGCTCAACCCCCTCATTCAGGTTGCTACTAAGCAGTAGTAGGTGCCTCAAATGTCTCCTGTGATTATACCAAATTTGGAGTAAATTATTCATTGACGTGAATTTTGGAGAATGGTCTCACGTGACTTACAAGTGATAGTCCCGATAAAAGAATAATAAGGAGAAACGAATAAAGAGTCCTCATAGACAAGGCTCAGATTCCTTGGACTAATTTTTTAAACACTTATATTTTTCTATTTTTTGACACTCACCTCAGAAGTACCGTTATAACTCTAAATTTTCCAACAATATTAAGCATGCAATGAAGCAAAAGTGGATCATACACCCTTAATTCCACTTTGTACAGGTAGTAATATCTCCTCTACTTGTATGCATTTTAGCCAACAGTCATTTTACCAGTGTAACTAAGATATACTATCCTTTTTAAAGATAGAACTTCAGTTCAAAGAAATAAAGTAGTTAGAAGATGTGTAATAATTTGGTCTTACAGCAACAGAAAGAGTAAAATCTAACAGCTATTGATAGAGTAACAATAAAGAGCAACAAGGAAACCAATGGAATTTTTTTTTTAGATATTGTTTATTCTGTATTGAAGCAATATGTAAACCTGTTTTTCACTCTGAAAATTTAGCTCTTTGTTTGACTTTTCTTTCACAGTATATTTTTTGATATAATGGTTGCTAACAACAAATAATCTACTATATGCAAAAATGTAAAAATCATGAAGTCTGAATGAAAGGAGGCTAAACATCAGTACAAAAAAGAAAATGTTTATACAATGCTTACTTACCTGACAGCTGAAGCTTGACTAAATCCAGCAGAAGACCAGGCAAATACGTTCTTAAAAATTTAATATATACCACAAGGAAATTGAATATGCCATTCTCCCCATCTTCCAGGCACACACCTCTACTTATTTTGTAATAAAATATGAAATTGCTCAGTTATAAATCCATAACAATGGGAGAAATTAAAAGAAATTCCACTGAAAAAAGAAAGATTTTTTTTCACCTTTCACAGCAGTTATTTGTTCAAGTGAAACAAAATCAGAAGAGTCATCTGATAGATATTGTCTGTTTCAGACAGATCTAGTGCATGCAGTTCAAAATCTGAAGTTAGATTCCTTTGAGTAACATATATGCAGAAGTTTATTGATAACAATATAGATAGAAAATTACTTATAAGTTTAGGTGGAATGCTAACACTATGAAATGTTCTCATATTCACTATACCAGTTAATCACCACTGACAGGATCAAACAAGTGAATAAATAAATTAGCAATTTTAGTAATTTGATTTGCTTAGAAACACTTGATATCATACTGCTGATGACTTAAAAATTACTAATGAAACAAATGTCTCAAAAACATAATCAACAAAAGTAAGTTAAATTATTTTAGGTTAGCAGACTTTTGAACATCTCAAATTAACTTTGTGAAGATTTTTCAAAACATGTTTTTTAGAACTAGACTTGGAGGAGAAAATCTGAGCTTTCCTCAGAGACTTCAGAGAAAATTAGTGCAGTGGAGATGTTGAATTATGCCTATCAAAATGTTCCTTAAAAATTCCTTGAAAAATTTTAAATAACATCCCCCCCATAGATAAACTATATCAATTATAAAATAAATTTTAAAATTGATGATCGATTCTATTTTGGATAGCAACAAAAACATGAGTAAGAATTAATTACAAAACTAAAAGCTAATGTTCTTCTTGCAAAAGGAGTCTTTAAAAAGTCATAATTTTGAGGTACAAACATGTCTTGAAGTTGTTTTAAATTTTATGTGATAACTTGCATATAAACATAACCATAGCCATTGATTTGCATGCACACAATCATATACCACTCTGCATACACGCACAAAATGTGTCTCAAGACAAGAAATCCTACAAAAATTAGCAATTGGGATGCAATTCATCCAAGGTATTTGCATATAAAATTATGACCCTTTCTGTAATTTGTTCAATAGCATTATATAGATCTGTCTCTCTCCCCTTCCAAAAGGAAGAAATTTAAGAAACTAAAAATAAAAATGGAATTCACAGTACCTTACCTTAGGATAAAAATTATTGCAAGCACAGAAGTATAGGTATATTTTAACTTGCCTAGGTAGATCATATCTAAAAATTTTTGAAGCACTGTTACAAAAAATTTCTAGACCATTTTTAGGTTGTGTGGTCTTGGAAACTCTGAAAGGTTTTTAAAAAGTAGAAATTAATACTCTAATGCTCTACTAATTCTCTGTTAATACTTTTTAGGGTTTAACTATGAGATTCAAATAATTCTGCCCTGGCAGTTACAAATCTTATCCACTCAAACTGTTGAAGGGCTGATATCATAAATCCACACAAATTTGCATTGACTGTAGATACAAAGAGAAAATGTAGATTAATATAATTAGCACAAATTACTATGTATGTCTTGTAAACACATCTTGTCCTGCTATCTCCTGTACTGGTTTTATGATATTTCAAATATTGATGATTAAGATGATAACATACTTTCGTTCTATATCAGGTTTCATAAGATATTCTAGGTAAGAGGCTAAAATTATACAGAATCAACATACTGTGTGTTTTCAAAAGCTAGATTTATTGAGAAAAAGCATGAAAGATTGTCACAAATTCTGTTACAGTGACGTTTTAAAGTCAAGAATGTATTAAAAATGTATGCCCTATTTTAATATGCTCCATTTCAGTCACATTTACTTAGACATGATGTACCACTTAATTCACTGAAGTCCTATGGCCTGTATTGTGTCACATAGGAGACTCCATTACAGTGTTTCTTCTGGCTTTATGACATATGAATCCATTAATATACACAGAATTAAGCAATTTTATGTCTGGTAGTTAAAGACATGCGTGACTGCATTAAAGGAGGCTAAAAAGTTACCATATTTCAATGTTAAATTCTTTCTAATGAACTCTTTACATAAGTAAAGATAATAAATAGAATCTTTAGAAAGATGAAACCTTCAGTGTACCTTCCCAAGCTACTTAGCTCAGGAACTGACACATGTGGAAGCTTAATGGAACCAGTTGCTCCCAGCAGCAATTTGCCTCTGCTGGAGGAGAATCAATATGGATAAAAAATTTGTATTATCATACACTGATAATCCTAGAGTTATCAGGAGTAACTATTGCACTTGCTTGATTTGATTTCCATTGCATATTTGCCTCTGCATTAAATCTTTTCGTACTGTCAAATTGCCTTATTATAAAACACTTACAAAACAACTAAAAATGTACTGTGTTAAAATTTTTAATAACCTAATGGATTATATGTCAAAAATACTGGAAATGCAAAAACTTATCATAAAACTAAGTGAAAAATTTAATCCAAATTTTGTGTAGTATTTCTTCAACTACTACTTCCAGTGAACTAATATGGGAGGAAATCTTCAAAATCTAAAATTTTGTCTCTGAATGTTTAAATATTTTCAGTGGAAATACTTTGCAACCGTACAGTTCACAAGTGGCAACAAATGTAATTTGAATAAACTTTATTCTATTCTTTCTGTTCAAGGTTTAGTCAAGATCCAGAATTAATACACAACTTTAATGCAATAATACACTAAATGATCTATCTCCATTGGCCATATATGGTAACAGTAGGGTGGAAAAGAGTATTAGTCATTCTACTTTTTTTTTTTTTATTATTTTCCCACTTTCTCATCTACTCAAATTCTCTCAACCTTTGTTTTTTATTTAAAAAAAACCCAAAACACACCACCACCAAAGAAAAAAAACACACTCCAAAGGAAAAAAATCACCTTAAATATAAAAAATAAAAGACACACAGATCATATACTATTATTTTCTCCATGCCATTCCCATTTAAAGCCTTGAATTTATATGTTAGATATTATTCAGAACAAAGACCAGTATTAATGCCTGTGAAATATTTAGTAGTAACAAATAAATAAATACAATTATTCTGTAGCATTTAATGAATTATTGGGAAAAGGTAACTCATTAGATCATCAATTTGTACATCTAAATTTAGTCAATTATTCGTGACTGCATATGTACTCTTTCATTACACTGAGTGGAGGCCTGGTTGAACGTTCATCTGGAGACTTTTCAGACTCATTGAAAACTCACTTTAATGCTTGATTGGCTTGCTGTTTACTCCGCTTGTGATTCCATTTGCTGAATTGATCATGTCTCAAAAGACAATAACGAAATCTTAGGCACCACTCCCATATATTCCCACCCAGAGTGTAGATATCTACATTTACACAAGATGAATCCCACTCACAAGAGTTTAAAAAGAAGGAATGAACTTTCAGATTGACTAAATATTTTCAGTAATAATTCTCATATGTTGAAAGTGAATTTTATATGTAATGTTATTTAAATCATATTTCCTTTTGCAGTGGAAAAAACCCTAAGAACATTCACTTATATTACTTAAAATTTGAGCTTCAATTTCATATACTGTACCAAGGCTATTACCTGAGTATTGTAGTATTTTAAGTATTAAGTATTTTTTTCTATTGCACGACAGTCCAGCCAGAGCATTCTCAGCTGAGACTGCTTTTCTGAAAGCTCCTCCTGCAATGGCAATGTTTTTCATGTGTCCAGCCAATTCCTTCTTCCAGTTTCTCTATGTGATTTGCATGCTTTTTAAGCTTAAAAGCAGTTTAGATTACATGGTACAATTAAGATGGAAAAGCTTTGAATCCAGCCAAATCTTTATTCCTTTTTCTAGATGTACCTAATTTAAACTAACACTTTATTATATTGTTCCACTTATCTCAATGTGTTCTTCCCTGTGTAATAATTACAGGGATGAAAAGTGTGAACACTCAAACCACACACCTGTGTCAAGTTAAAAGTAAAAAAAAAAATAAACAGAAAGACATTTCTCTGTATAAATACATATGCAAGAAAAGGGGAGGCAGAGAAAACTAATTTTCTTGAGTTTGTGTTGCTTTATCAATAGAAAATTAATTTAAAAACCCCAAGAGCAGCCAAGAAAATTACAGTAGAGTAAGGCAGAATGCAAATATTGTCAGACTGTGTGCATTTTTTCCCCTTTTAAATAAACTTAGAATGGTCAATTCCCTTTTACACTAAAAGAAAAACAAAAAAAAAGTTGTTATATTTTTTTTCCCATAGACTCTCGGTTCATACAGAGACACTTTCTGTAGAGTAGCTGGCTCCTGGTACTCAAGTGGTATTCATCTTTTTATCTTTGCTGATACCTAAGACAAGACACTTCACTATCTTGTGCTCCAAAATCCTTACCTACAAAAATCAAATTTATTTGCCAAGAAATACATATATAAATGCACACACAACTATATGAAATCTTAGTATTCTTAAAAATTTAAATTAAATTACACATGCTTAGCAAAATATGGAATCTCTGAATTTAAAGTGCTAGATAAGAGTTAGATGTTATCACTGCAATTATTTTTCATGCATTCTTTAAAATGTGTAGATTTTTTTTCATCCAGGAATATTATTAAATAATAAATAATGAAACTACTTTTCTCAGTGCAAACTGGAGGTAATTGTGAAGTTCTATAATGTTAAAGTCATGACCATTAGAACTTTTTTTTCACAAACAAAAGATAAGTGCAAATGGTATTTTCAATCATATTATTGCAAATCTCTCACAGTTTAATGTTTCCCAAATCAAAATAATATTCCATGTAATTCACTTTTTAAGTTTTTGTGTTAATGTTGTATTTCTTTATGCATTGCTAAACCTCATAAATTATTAAAACTACGTATTGGGCAGATAGAGATACTTCTAAGAGTAAAGACTTTGGAGATTAATTTGTCACTTTTTTTAAGAGTTTATGAAAGTAGGCCTGAGTAGAATAACAAACTTCTAAAAAATTCACATTTGTAGAGATTTTCACACAGTAGCTGGCACAAATTCAGAATGGTATGATGTCAATCCCTTTTCCAGAAGTAGTGAGAAAAATATTTTTCCAGCTTTTTGTATACTGTATATTTGTGTGTTATGTAATCTGGAAAATGTATTTAATAATTAGGAGTATTGATGTGCACCATCAGTTATCTGGATAATAAATAACTATCATTCTTCCCATTAAAATACTCCATGGTAAAATAAATTTAAAAAAAATAAAAATTAAAAAACTAATGGTTTCCATGGCAAGGTGCTGTGTTCATAGTACCTTGAGTTCATAAATTCTGAAATTTTTTTCCTTATCCTCCTGTTTTGTTGACTTTGTATAGGACAAGAACAAGATATGAGGTCCTTCACTACCACATTGACAAAATCTACTTCAGCTTTATCTCCTAAACAGGCTTTCAGACCATGTATGTGTGATAACTAGTCCAGATGACCAGAAAATTTAACATGGATGGCCTGCTAGAGAAAACCATATACTTCTTTTTTTTGTCACATACAGAGGGCATTAAGGATCTGAAAAAGAAGAAACTCAAAGACATGGAGTTCAGTTTTCAGCAGAAGATACTGGAGAGATATGAAAGGTGAGCAAATAGTAAAAATGCTTCCAGTGAAGCAAGAAAATACATGAGGAAGTGACTGTGAACTGCTGTGGTCAACATTCCCTCTGATTCTTTGGGAAGCAAATTTAAATTCTTTATTAATTCTCGTTGAGTCACTGCTATCAACAAACTTCTGGTGATTATATTTAAATCTGACAACAGACAAAGTGGAAGGACCATGAACTATTGTTTTTCAATAAAAATTGAAAAAAAAACCAGAAAATTTACTGTTATGTAGATTCATTGAATCCTCGGGAGCTGATGTTCCTGGAAGGCAAGTGTTAATAACAATTTAGGGAGACAGTTACAGGTGAAAGGGTTCTCATCCAAAATGCTAAGTGATGAATGAACATTCTGGTAATAATGGTCAACCATAGTCAGATGCAAGAAAACAAAAACCAACAAAGCCTACAAAAATTCTGGGGGAAAAAGGATATCTAGCTGAATAGACCTTCAAGTAGATTTAAAAATACAAATCCTAAGACCTGACATAAGAAATCCTTTTGCCATAAGATCCATGGATCAAATTTTTATTCCTCAGAGAGAAAATCCCCAAACAAACAAAAAATCCAAAAAAGCAAACCAAAACAGTCACTCAAACTTATTCATTCTTGGTAGGAATGAAAGGGGCTACTGTTAACAGTGTAATTTACAACAGAGCACTCAAGTCTGGGAGAAATCTATAATGACAAGGATGGACTTAATATTGTCATGTCTGATGATAAAAGTTTCTACTTCAAAACATTCCATTGTTTTCTACAAGCCTAAAGGTCTTTTTGAGGCCTTAAGAAGGATACTCAGTTAATCTTAGGAGTGACCAGACCTAGAAAGAGAAAATATATTGCCAATCTGAATTCTGACGACTGAAATACCCATCTGAAAGGGAATCCCAAACGAACTTAAAATCAAAGCTTAAATCAAACAGAACTATAACCTCCTCTTAAACCTGCTCTTGGTTTTGGAAGAAGGTGATGGCTCTTATAGCTTTTATTAAATACAATAATAAATGTCAACTTAAAAGTTCATTCTTTATAAATTTATGAGTACAATTTTGAAAGAATTCAAGAAAATAAACAAGATTATTTCCTTGTTTTAAAAAATTCTTTTGAATTTCTCCATGATATTGCTGATGGTTATCCTTAAAGGACTAACATATATTACAGGTCTGAAAATTACAGGCAAGGGATTATTAAGATTGTGTCAAGGTTAAGTTTCTTTCATTTGAGTTTGTTATTTTCTTTCATTTGATGTCTATGACCAAAAAAGCCTTTGCACACTCTCACCAGTTTCAGCAAGACAATGTCATAAAAAAATTTCAGCTGTTCTGGCTTCATTTATTGCCAGGATGCTATTGTAGTGGTTTATCTTTCTACTACCTACCACAGAGTTTTCCATTATTTCAGTTGCCTAGAGTTTTGCCCAGCTTCATCTGCCTGGATTGAAATTTGTCTTGCTGAATTTTTGCACAAGGCCAAATTATCTTGAGAAGTGTAAATGAAAATAATATGGATAAGAAAGATATTAACAAATATTTCACTATGTGTTAGCAGAGAGAGTAAGCTATAACCTATCTAAGTTCTATATCCATTCTGTTGAAAAGTTCTGATGTCTTGGAGAAGGTTAGTGTTATGTTGTGGTTCTTACTCACCCTGGGTTTATGCTGCTTTACTTTTGCCTTATTAATTCCCTGCTAGAGAAAGCATCTGTTTGCCAAATCTCTGTCTGTTCTGGTCAAGTCAGACAATACACCACACAAAGCAAGGAATCCATTCAGAGGTGTTCCTTTCAAAAACTATCCATATAAAAGAGGTGAATGCAATTTTACTTTTAGGTAAAATGGGTACCTCGTGAAATCTATTTGACTTGGGAACGGGCTCTGATGCTGATTTTGCTTTAAAAAAACTACTGTGGCAAAGTCAAATATTCAGTATATATACATATATATATATACAGTACATAACCATTCAGTATATATACAGCAGAATTAATGATGTCAAGTGTAATAATTTCTACCCAACATATTTATGTGTCTTTACCACTTGATATTATCACTTCCTTTAAACATCGAGCTTGAATGATGACTTTTATCACTTAGGGGGCAAATAGTTCAACATCTTGATTTCTTTTAATTTATCTGTTAGTGTTTAAAGTACAATATTCAAGTGCTGATATGAATGAAAAAGTTCCTTTAGTCTACATGAGTTCCCAAAACCTACATATTAATTCTCATGTAATTCCTTTTAAAATTTTTGGACACTGCACAAAATAGTAAAGTTCAAAACAAGATCCTGGAAAAAACTTCTAGCCCATTCAGTGGCAAATTCTGAATCTACAACTTACAGAAAAGGTCCATGTGTACCAGCTTACACAACTTGAACTGAGAAACGTGGCTCACATGAGGACACAACTAAAAAGACAATAAAATACAGTTGCTGATTTTCAGCACAATGGTGTCTGAGTGTTTCATAAATATCAGCATCCCATGATGTGAGAATATAGTTCTATTATTTTATACATAGACAGTTGAAGCAAACAGATTTGGGGACATGGGGTAAAAGAAGATAAGGAAGTTCACGTAAAGCAAAAATAATATGTAAACTTGCTTTCTATCAAAATGCTCACTTGGGATATAGGAGATTAATTTCTTTTTTATTTTGAAGGAGTTTGAACCAACATCATTCCATGTTGATCTGAGAGGGATTGCTCTTTCAGTCTTTCTCGCAGAATCTTCCCCTTTTTGTAGGTGTTTTTAGCATTTATTGAATCAATGAGAGACAAAAAACTCGTATGTGCTCAGGCACTATTGTCCTCTGTTGCAATGGGAATGACCTTGGTTCAAATCCCCAGTTAGACACAGGACACAACTGAACATTGTTTTCTCATGTCTTTTGTTAATGCTTCTTTGTAAGGACCTTTAACTTGTTCAAAGCAAATTATCATTGGCTACAGTTGTTCTTGGGAAAGTTTAATCTACCACACATTAGACAGCAGAATCTCAGATTGGATATTCAGAAATGTTTAGAGGTAATATCTTCTTTATTTCTGAGGGAGAGACCAGGAAAATATCTAGTTTTTGAGTTGTTTTCATTGTATAGCTGCTTTATTCTTCTTTTTCCTAGAGCTTTCTTCAACTATACAACTTCCTACTCAAAAAACAAAACAAACCAAAACAAAAAACCAGTTTACTTACTTTAATGCATGTCCTCCGTCAATTCCTTGATCACTGCCTTTCCTGTGATGCTAAGTAAGGGCCTTGGTAAATGGCCTTGGTAAACTGACTTTGAAAGAAAACTTCTTATTTACCTACAGAGCTGTGGGGCTTTGAAAACTTTTGGCCCAGCTAAAAAACAAAGCAAAATAAAATTTATGAACCAAATGCACAGAACCACAGGTTTAAAACCTTTCAGTATTCTTAAGGTAGTCATAATCTATTTTTCTGTTCTTAGTAAGCTACATCTTTTAAAAATATGCTTCATTTCTTTGTCATCTGGCTCTGTCCCATGTTGGAATTGTTCCCTGCTGTTAATTAGAGGTGACTATAATTTGATTAATCTCAAACATGTGTTATATATGCACAATATGGAAAACTGTATTCTATATTTTCTACTTTAAACATTCTTGAATGTAATGGAAATAAGCCAAACATTTTTTAAGGACTCAATCTTATCTTAATGAACAATATGGATATAATCAAAATAAGACATTCTAATCAATTTGAAGTGTTAAAAGTTCACAGAAATATGCGGTAACCATGTACAGTATTTATCAATGTAATACAAACCGGATTTCAAATGCATACCACCTGAGCATCATTGCTATCTGCACATCTGAAGTTCTCCACCTCTCTCTCCATTTCAACAAGGGTTTGTCACAGTCTGACAATGTGCTTTTGCTGGTCCCACATTGTTGGTACTTTTCCCATGAAAACTTTTTTGAAGACATTACCCACATTTTTCAGACCTAAAGGGCTAGCAGTCAGTGATGGCTATAACATTTCCACACAGTTTTATATAGCTCTTGGTCTTGAAAGGTCTTTAATAACTAGAGTACAAATCTAAGCTCTTTTATTAGGACAGGATTATTCAGACACTTAAATTAAATTTTGTAGTTAGTAATTATACAGTTATATAAGAAAAGTTCACTGTATAATGGACGTTAAGCATATGACTAAATCTTTCCTTTGTTTATAAAGATCTTTAAAGACCACTCCTAAATAAAAAAGTTTTGAATACTTTATGTCACATTAATGTAAGTGCCTATGCATTTTTGTGCAAATAAAAGTACTATGAGTATTAACGAAAGTTCACTAAGAGTTTTCCTCAAGCTATTCAAAACAGATTATTTTAAATTAGTTAAATCTAACAATTATACCTTTTAAAAATGACAACTATTTAAATTTTCTGGCTCATTCTTTTTTTAAGTAGAACTTTGTTGTTATTATTATAGAGGCTCTGGTAGTAAGCGAAATATAATTCTAAATATTTTTTCCTAAAGCTGTATACAAATCAATAACTGTAAGCATGCCAGAAGAAAACCATCTTGTATGGCTCCCCAAGTTCCTAATAAATGCAAGTAAGCTGACCTTCCTTTGACAACTATGAATATGGTTTCATAATTTTACCATTGATACTACTGTAATCAGCAATTTATACAGCAAAAATGGAGCCAAGGCTAGTTGTAAATAATTATACATTACAAGAAGGTGCATTGTACAGTAACCATAGTGAACAAACTTTATGATTTTGGGAATCAGTTCCTCTAATATATTTTGTCAAACAAGGTCTTCAAAGAGATCACAAATGCTCTCTTATTTTTTTATAATATTTTCCATATCCTTGAAACACTCTAGTTTTAGTGTTACTTTTTTAATATTTAAAATACAAATAGCTTCAAACCTTGAATTATTACTTTCTAACAATAACACCATTTTTATAGGTAGGGCAGTGAACCTGAAAGTAAAGGAAGATTACAGTCAAAAATAAAAAAGGCACGATTCTGCATTTAAAAAGGGCAATATATCTATGAAAATGCAGTATTTCTCATGCAATGATATAATAAAACTGAATGAAAACAATGTATTTTAAACAATGAGCTACTGAAGTAGTACTACATCTAGTTTTTCTTTCTCATAAATACTCTTTGAAGAGTTCTGGAAAAAATAACCTATAAATGAAAGCAATGGCACATTTTTAACATCTATGTTAACAAAAAAAAAGCCTATACAGACTTAGTAGGAATTGAAATTTGAAGTACTTGCATTAGAGCATTGTAGTTTCTAAAAAATATTTAAAATGTCTATGAAAATTCTATTAAGAATAGGTTTGAAGAAAGAGCACTTACATTAAACATGTTAATACAGGTGCATATTGACCTCTAAAAAAACAAAAGGATCAAAAAAAAAAACAATAAAATGTTCTGGTTTATCATTTCTATTCAGAAAAAAAATTGTAATATATATGGTTGGAAAGTAGCAGCCCCAGCTGAATACTATATTAATTAACATGTTTAAAAGCCTCCTTGTTTTGAAGACAGAAGTTACTAAATTCTTAGAAGTAATTTCTCTAAAATCATTAGTCTCTTTGTCCTATTTTCATGTTTTGCAATAACTAAATTTCAGATTTAATAAGCTTTGAATGCTCAGAGATCATAATATCAACTAATACTATGTTCATATAATATGAGTGATATTTTACAAGGACAATTCTTTCTTGATGACATTTCCTCAAGTTCTCTGCTCTCTTACTTGTAATTCTTTCATGTTCAGAATGAATCCCTGCTACATCTCACTCAATATTGATCTTCAAGGCATTTCTTCCAATCCTTTCCCCAGTGTGGTCACTGAACAGTATAAAAGTTCAATAGGAAGATCAGCTGCTCATCCACTTTTTGCTAAAGCAATTTGTATTATGGATTTATTTTAGCAGTCTACAGTGGCAGTTGCTGTTTTTACTATTTAAATGCTTTGATTATCTGACCTTGCTTACTTTATCTTTTTAAGTGCTGTGCATGGGCTTTAAAGTAGATCAATAAATGGGGATTCCTCCACCACATTATGTTGAAATCAATCCTGATTCAGACTATTTGTATTTCACTCTTATGAGTCCATCTGTCTTTCTTAATTTTATATTCTCTTTTCTTAAATAATTTTGCCTGCCACTGCAAATACTTACTGTCAGGTAGATTTCCGTTGCAATCAATTCAGCTCTTCCCAGTCATAACCATGGTGTCTGGGAAGACACAAATATATAGGATCATATCCTATGCCTGAACAGTCATCTCCTAGGTAATTATTATTTATTTTTTTTATAGCAGTTGTGACATAGGTACTGTGAAAGTCAATAAACAGAAATTTTCATTCACTTCGTGTCTTCATTTTTCCGGGAATAGTTAAAAATTAAAATCAAGCTAAATGGCACAAGCTTATTAAAATATTTCAGGTTTGCAATTTCTCTTAGAGAAACAGTTGATGAAGTTAACCAGATCTCAGCTGTTATGATAAAGCTTAAAATTCTCTGATCAAATTTGAGAACTGTAACTAGTCCTGAATTTGTGCAGTGTGAATAATTGCTCTGAGATACATTTTATTGTATTTTGCATCTAATTAATTTAATATAGATTAACATTTAAAGCATTTCAAGTTTTTTAACTTCTTACAAATTTTAAAGTTTACCTTCCCTAATTCATAATGAAAAGGTTACCACAACTGCAAAAAGACTTAGCATGGATATGTCAAAACAGAAAAGGAGAAATAAATTAAATAGAAAATCTAACAATACAGTTAACACACTACGCATGGAGTCCTGAGCACTTAGGGGATTATCTACCTAGAAAATATAAAACTTACTGAAATAGTACTTTGATTTCATTTAACATCACAAATTTTAAGAAGAGGAAATTTCCCCCTTTCTTTAACTAAGTCACACACAGAAACACTAATTTGGATTTCAATCAAATTAATCTAAATAAAATAAAAAATACAATCAGGCACTTCAGTAATTTCCTGTAATCCTTACATTATAATTCACCACTTTTGTAATAAAGCATGGCAACTACAAAACAAAATCATGAGCAATACTTAAAACAGTTTTCATCTTCAATCATGTACATTTGTAAACAGCTTTTAATGTGTTTATAGGGTAAGAGGTTCTACAAAACTGCTGGCATTCATGTATGTTTGAAACCTAGGATGCCATTAAAAACTGATACTACTTTACTCAGCTTCATATATAACACACTAATTTTCCATGCCTAAGAGGAAACTTACCCACTTCTTCCAATTTTCTAGTTCTTCACCTGATCGAGACTATTTAAGCTTATTCCAGGTTCAGTGGACACTGAGGCCTTGAGAAAGTTGCTATTTATCCTCTTTCTTTGATGCTGTTATTCTTATCTTAAAGTCCTTCACCCTTTTCTTGATATTTTAAACAAAATAGGAATTATTCAATAATAAGTTTGACGATGGTAAATAAAGTCAACCATTTGTGATGGGTGGGAGAATTTCTGCCTCAGTTGTAGCTCCATATGGTACACACCACCATGTCTCTGATGAGAGGGGAAGGACAAAAGGGAACATGACCACGAATATCTTAAACACTGATATAATTAGAAGATGTTAATAACAACATAGCATATTAAAAACAGTGTGATGACAGAGGTTTAAATCATATTAGGACCAGTGATGATGGTGGTGAATATCTAGCCTATAAGACATTATCAAACTTATGTTAAAAATGTGGCCCAAGTGAAAGTAAGCACATAAAGTAACTAGTAATAAACAATCATTAAATGAATAAAAATGGATCAGGATTTTCACTGATAATTTTGTAAGTGCATAAAAGACAAATGGCTTAGGCATCTAATGTACAAAGTAAACAGTACTAAAAAATGCAGCAAATATGCAAAAGTCCTTTGCAAAATGGCACAATGTCATTTTTATTGTTTTCTGGAAATTAATAGTACCAGAAATGCAAAATAATATGGGTTTTTAAGATTTTTCTTTATTTAAGACTTCAGTAAGTAGCCATGTATTTTTAAAAATTATTAGTAACTCTACTGAAATCCTACCCTCTCAGTAATTTTATAAGCACTTTTAGTTAATGCAGGATGTCAATTCTGAAAATGAATAAGTTTTTACTGATAATTCCTTTCAGATTTTTAAGGGAACATTTTCCCTTCTCCTTTTAAATTTCCACTAACTAATAAAAGCATCTGTTTCATTAGGGTCTGTCCTGGTTTTACTTTAAGCACTTCTGGAATTTGTGGATGTAAGAAGGGGGTTGCTTTTGCCACAATCTTATCCACTTAGAAAATAAAAATAAAAATGCACACGAGGAATAGAACTACTAGAAGGTATTACACAATGGCTTTTGGTGGGGGGTTGTGGGGGAATTTTCATCTTATTCAATACTTGCTAACATAACTTGTGAAGATTTTTCATTTTATTGTGACAGCAGAGGGGAAATGTAAAAGAATTCACTGCACCAAATACGCATTTCTGCAGAGCACAGCTTAAAGAAGACAAGTCTGTACTGTTTCTCTCAGGTGGGTAAATGTTAAGAGAGAAGAATCCAAGTTTCATGATGCAGCAGCACAAAGCTGGGAAGTGAAAATTATGTTGCAGCAGAGTCCTGAAAATATGACTGTAAAAGTTAATCAATAAAATGTCTATTCCTGTCTATTCACTAGAGGCCCCAGCTGCATAGCTTCACACAATCGATACTACAAATTATTACGATTTCCAGGTTCCCACTGGACATTCTGAACAAATCTTTCAGGTGTAACAGGCTTATATGGGGGGGTGGGGGGAGGCAGGTGGGGTGGGGGCTAGGGGTGTGTTACCTTAGGTATATTTCATATGGAATAAATGCACAACAAACAAAGCTTGTGACTTCTAAAAACTTTCAGTTATTTCCCGTGAAATAAATGTATTTTGGACACCCTGTGAAATTAGCAGAAAATATTTTTACTCTAAAACTAAATATTTTTATTCTGTTAAACTAATGAATATAATGGCCTTGTATTGTTTTTAAAATCCTAGTCAACCTTTTTCCTTTTTTCACCGTTTCCATGAAAAAATAACTTTTAACAAAGATTTCACAACAAGGAAATAAAAGCATACAAAAATGGACCTTTCCCCTCAAAGGCTTTACAAAAGCTATAGGAGGATCTCAGGTCTCAGTGTAGTTTTAACTGACCAGTTCATGCTGCATTTTTCTTTGTATGGTCCTATGCTCTTGTCTTGATACCAGCTGCATTTGCCAGATTATCTAAGTAGGAAGGTAGGTAAAGTCCAGGACTGTATGACTTTGAATAAGTCAGCACCAAAGGGATGCTACTTTATGACACATGAGCTACCCTCCATAGTGACTGAACATAACCCTTGTGACATTCCCTGTCCCAAAAGACCCAGGGGACAGAGATCCATTGTTCTTTCTGTCTCCCAAGGAACAGAAGAGAGCAGATACTGACTAGAACTGCATTACTGTTTTCAGGTACACAGTAAGATGTTGTTTTTAAAGGGAAATTTCAATATTTAAAGTCTCCAACTCTGTTGTTCATATTTAGTTTTATTAGTTCCATTTTACTAAACCTATTGTTCTGAACTAGTAGTTTTAATTTTCCAGGTTCAAAAAAATACTTTGCTGATGGTGATCCTGCAGCAATGCTTTCTGTAATGTCAGAACGCTTTTAAAAAAAAAGCAATAGCATCACAAAATTAAGGTCAACATTTTACATAAGATAAGATAAAAAAAAATTTGATAATCTGTAGAGCTAAGAAAAGATTGCCCTTATTAAAGTTTATTACGTTCACGTACTGAAGTAACAAAGTTCCAAAGTCACTGAACAAGTGTAGAAAATAGAACAGAAAAAGGTAGATTACTTAATAATTTTTGCATGTTAAGAGATTCATTTGAGTTTTATTTGTTCATAAAAAACATAATTAAAAAAATATTAAAAAGTCCCTCTGAAAATCTTTTAGTGATTATCATTTGACTTTCTATTTAAACATTAGTGAAACTCATTTCACTGAACTTCTGCAAAATTCCTGCTCTCTCAAAAGCTATATTTCATGACACAATCGATCAGTTACAGCTGGGAGTTTCAATTCCACTTCCCCACACCCCCCCACCTCCATCTCACACTAACTTACCACAATCAGTAATCCTAGAAGTTTGTGACCTTTTTATTTTCAAAGAAGTATCTACAAGAATTGGCATAACATGGCATTTTGGCAACTGAGGAATCACTTGAAATGGTAAAGAAAACCCACTGTGGCAAAAGATTCAAGTTATGTTAGGAAAGTAAATCAGTGACAGTGTTTACCCTAGAGAAGTACTAGTTATGTCTTTAAAGGTATAACTGCAGTTTAAAACACCTATTTTATTTAAAGAAATGAAAACACATTACTAAAGAAAATATTTTTTTCCATGAAGCTTTTCCCAGTCTTCAGCAGAAAAATTAACATAAAACATTTGAACTACAGAACAGATGAAGTTCCAGTCTAAAAGTCATTTACACTGAGCATATATTATCATATTCTATTTTAGATGCATGATGTTTGTTCCATCTGAACTTAGCAAACGTTCTCTCAGAGGAGATTTGTTGAGATATTTGATGCTTGCCACAAATCTGAGATAAAACATTTAGCTCTGAACATTTAGGTTCAGTCCACCACCAAATGAATAGACATTTCTTTGCAGCCAAACTATCTTGTATAAAGTGTTCATCATGCTCTGTGATATTACAAAACAGCTTGAGATTCTGTCTGTATATATAGGGATTGCTTAATGTAACGTAACTTTAATAAGAAGAGAGCAACTGCATGAAAAATGAATCAGTTGAATTGAGTCATTTTTACCATACTCTAAATCTTGAAAACTCTAAATAATGAATCATTTTGTGGCTCAACATAAAAATATAGTTAACATTAAGGTAAATTATAAAATCTAATTGTTGAACATTGTTACTTTTTAATTAAATCCCATGAGTTAGCATTCAGTCTAATAGATACTAAATTTGGCCGATTAAAGCAAAAGTACTTTTTTCAGTGTAAACTTTTCTAGAGTCTGCTTGCTTTATTTGCTTATGTTAGCAACTTCATATATGCCTTGCTGTTGTGACTAAAAGTTCAAACACCAAATTTCCTTTAATTTGGCAGTCTGTTGCTTAGAGGCAGCTTCTCTAACAAAAAAAGAAAGACAATAAGACCCATATGTAACCTTTGGTCTCTAAAAAGAGGAAGATGAGAATACCATTAACAGATAGGTAATAAATAATTGCACACACTATTCTACTTCAGCACTACAGAATATTAATTTTAAAAATAAACCAGACACCTAACAATAGTATTTTTCAAAGTTCAATCTTTTTAAATGTAGAATGTATTTTAAAGCATACATTAATCAGTCATTTATATTTAATAGTTTATTCAATAGAGTTACAGAACACATTTACACTATGTCTTACCTGAGAGAAATGATTAATACAGTACATATTAAAAGGATTTACTGCTGACTTTAATGTCTTCTGTTTCTCGAATACCAAAAAAGCAGTAACTCACTTGTAATCACTAATTTCTTCTTCAGAAGTTATAGTACGCTTTCTCAGGGTCTCCAGCTCTTCGTCTCTGATTTTCTACTGTTCTGTTCTTAGCAAAATGTTTCTGCTATTTGCTCACTTAGCTGGTCTTGAGTTGCTTTCAAGCTGGATTCCATTAGAAGAAGTTTTTCATCTTGACTGGCAAGTTCTTGGGCTGAAAGTTAAAAAAAAAAAAAAAAAAAAAAAAAAGGCATTACATTTTAAGCTCAAGCCAAGTGATATTTTTGTTTTAAATGCAATGCAGTGCAACTCACTGTAAGAGCTGAGCAAATATTTTCTTCAGGAGAAGAGCCTCATTTTTTTCCCAAATCTTGAGAAGAAAATATACTATAAATATATTAATACGTGGCTTAAGTCTCTTTCATTGTATTCCAGCAAACTTAACTAACAAAACTTGGATTCCATATTCTGCAAACATTTAAACTGCTACCAGAGCTGACTGTATACACACACATCCAGTATTTAGTTCATTCTGAAGCAAACACCTATTGCCTTTGAATTTTTAAACATAAGTCAATCTAGACTTCAAAATCACAGTTTTTATAAAATAGCAGCTTTTTTACCATTTCACGGTAGTAACGTATACAATTTAAGCTCCAAGTCTTCAATTTCATTATGTTTTTTCAAGAATTACAGAGCACATACATAGTAAAAACCTGTTCTTTTCCAAGGTCATCCAATAGATGGCAATCTTTCCTTAGACCAAAAGAAACTATAGCTACACACTGCCAGCTCTCAGAAAAAATAAGTGATTTAAGACAAAGACATTTTTCCTTTGTTCTTTGTTGACCATTTTCCTAAAAGATATATGTACATAGGCTTTAATTTAAATATTTAACCCTTAGTATGTGCACACATGAGTTTGTGTGGATGTGCAGATATATGTGTACCTGCACAGACACAAATCCACACACATGTATTTGTTTTTACACTCCTTCATAAATACATGGTTTCAGACATATAGGCACATGTAGTTACCGGGTCTAGGATATTGTGAAATAAAAAACTGATCATTAAAACAAGTGCTTCACAACAAGCATTTTATAGCACACATTCCTTTCATTATGCAGCATTCAAATGATTTTGAAATTGGACACCAGAAAATTGGAGATATTAAGAATCTTTTAGTGATAGCAGTTCAATAAGTATCATAAAAGAAAATTTTGCATGAGCATAAATAAAAAAATCCCGGTTTTAATATGCTGTAGAATAATATTAAAGAGTGATAAGTACACTAGAATTCAGCGAAGAGAGAAAACAGTATTTTCCAGGCTTAGAAGGATAGAATCCTTTAAAGAAAAACATTTGTGCTCTGTTAACATGATTCTGCATTTATTGTTTTCAACATCTGACAACATTCACCATATGCACAGGATCTAAATTCAGGTATCATATCTCCCTTTATGAATTCAGAATATCCAGAAGATCAATTTCTTTACATAAAAAAAATGGCTTTGTTCTTTTCTCATTGACAGTAATAGAACCCAACTTCCCATAAAACACAACAGCATCATTTCTATAAGTAAAAAGTACTGTATATAGACTGCTTAAATTTGTGCCTCAGTAAGGTACACAGCTAACATTAACAGCTAAATATTTAACAAACTACATATCATCCACAGTTCTTTTTCACTGAGTATTGTGCAAATTTGACTCAATGTGAACTAATGAGTTAAATGGTTATTAATTTTAACATGTGTTCAAAAAAATTCACTGCCTAAAAAACAACTTATAACATTTTTTTCCTTCACAGTCAGAAAATGAGCAATTTAGTAAAGTCAAGCCTCAGCTGCCGTCATTCAATAGGAAATATAATATATAACAAATTTCTATTTGTCAGTGTATTTTTGACCCATTTCTGCAATACATCTGTACATAACTTTTGTGTGGTAGATGATCTTAGTGGAACCAATATGATTCCTTCTTTGAATAATGTTAGTTACCTGTGGGCTCCTAGTATTCGATCTGGGTTTAAAATCAAAAGGATCAATATTTCACATGTAATATGTAGCTCTTCCATTAAAAGTTTTCCAGTTTTGATCTACTTATGTTTTTTGTCTAAAAGACAATTCTTTGTATAACAAATTAGGTTTATTTAAATTTAAGAACTTATTAAGTCCCTGTCAATTTTATTTGAGATAGCATTGTCTGTATTATCCAGAGACAGGCATTTAACAATGCTTTAAAAGTTCTTAGAAATAGTGTAGAGCTGTGATCTGTTGTGTAGAGGTGGAATTATCTTTCAAAATTTATTTTATTTATATTAGCTTTGATTTGTAAACAGATTCAACAGTGTGTCTTTTGCAGTTGCATAACTATTTAAATGTGCAAAAGGTTATTTACTCACTGCTTTTAATAGTCTGTTTTAACTCACAATCTCCTGGTAAAAAAGGGTTAAATTATTTTAAGTTTACCTATGCCTTGGACTTGAGCCTTGGTTGATCCCAAGCCAGAGGCACTAGCAGCTGCATGCTTTATTTACAATCCCTTTGTCAGACTTACAACTGCCCCAGGCTATAACATAGTGTACCTAATGTTCAAACTGGCAGGTAATCTTATGTCAAACATACTTCTTTGATTTAAAGTGATCAATAGATTCTTGTAAAGAGGTAATTTCTCTGATGTTTCCACCTTGCCTTTCTTACAGGTGATTCACACAAAAGCCTGCTTATATGATGTACGAACAATAAACAGAAAGCTATAATCATGTTTTTTCAGATGTTTCCGGTGCACAACGATTTTGGATCAATACCCTGTGTAATACAATTATCTGCAATGATCTGGTTGTATTGAAAAAGAATTTGCAGCAGACCTCTAGGGGGTTTTATCCAGAAACACGTATCTGGCAATGTTGTGAATAGTGGAAGAGAAAATTAAGGGGTTGACACAGGCTGTCTATTATGTTCCAAATGACTTCATTAATATTTTATTTGGTAAAAGTAGTATATTTCAAGCTTTACTATACAGTGACTTCAAAATATTAATAATGCAATTTCCTTGTTGCATTTGCTTATTTTGAAAACTAGTTCTAGTAGAGATGTTCAGTGTAAGAGTCAGAAGTACTAACCAAAAATTATTTAAAGCAGTTTATTCCCAATAATCAAATGATTCCTTATTTTTCCATCTTATGTTACTTTTGTGTACACTATTTGATTGTAAAAAAAAGATCCATATTCATTATTGCACTACTGCTATACCAGGGATTAGTCATATGGGTTTAAAAAGTCACTTAAAATATTAACAGTGATATCAGACTTGTGAAGTTCAAATTACATTTTACATTGTCAGTGAATGAGCAGGTGTTCTGGGACAGAAATAGATGTTTCACCAAATTAATGCAAAGAGTATAGAAGAGAAATAGAATTACAAAAAAAAAAAAAAATCAGTCCTGTTTATTTTGTTTTGATGAAGTCACAGTCTGTAGCTGTAAATTTACCCTAAAGCAGAACAGGGAACCTTTCATATTCATTTGATTGCAACAGTCATATGCCCACATGATTGAAAATTCTATTCCATTAGACTGTACCGAATTCACATTTCTGTAATATTACTATTTTTGTACATTATTACCTGTCTTTCTGCACTGCTTATGCACACCCTGCAGTTACTGATTTAGCTGCTGAATCTCAGTTCTCAGTATGGTGGTTTCTGTCTCTGTCTGATTCTTTTCTTTCTGTGTGTCCTGGATACTGGCTTTCAGTTTCTTGACCACACTGTCAAGGTGCTCCACCTCAGTCACTTTTGCTTTGATACCTTCCTTTGCCTGCAGGAAATCGGCTTCCGACTTTCTCAGAAGGTCATCTCTTTTGCGTATTGCCTGTGAAGACAAAAAGCATTCCAATAGGGCCTTTTATGATGTACTTTTTATACTGCATCCTGCTATTTCAAGCTATAGGATACATGAGATTATACAGCACCTCATTAGCAATTGGGTCAAGTACCCACATCTCCTCTAGGATCAAAAAGTTACAGGGACTTTAATTTAAAAAAGTCTGCTGAAGAAAAGGTTCAGTATTACAATAAATACATCATTAATCAATACTTATAAGTTCAAAGGCAAGAACAAATATTCTATCTAATTCTGAGAGAAAAATGGGAAATGCAGTTTGATCTGAATGACTACTTTTCCTTTAAAAAAAAAAACAGAAGGAAAAATGTTTGATGAAAAAAAAAAAAAAAAAAAAAGAAGGGGTATATTTAACCTCTTGGTGCCAACAGCTACAGATCCCTTTCATTTGGCACTCTGGCAAATGCTGTAGGTTAATCTGGCCATAGGGATATCCCAAAGCATAGGGATATCACAAAGGAAAAAACTATCACGCTACTTTTTTTTCTGCCCTTTCATTGTTTAAGCATCTTGTTTGTGTAAAAATACATTATTAGGCTCTGTTTTGTTATTGTATAAAGATGTCACACACACTTTGGACTTTGGATTTAGAAGACCCCTTTCCCTTAGAGACAGTGCCATGATTTTAATTTTTGTCTGCAAGGTGTTAAGTACATGCTACAAGTTTATAGGTATAAGTCTCATATCAATCACTATTGAGCATTCATGAGTGACTGTGTTTTACTGGCTTGATGCCACACCTTGATTCTCTATCATACTCCATCATGCTTCTTTTAATCTGAATATTTAGTACTCTTTCATGTCTTAATTACAGCAAATTGCGCACAGTTGGCACCATTTCTTGAAATTAATCCCAGAGTACTTTGTTTCTGTCAAGCACAGTCAAAGCCTTAGAGAATAATAGTAAATGTTATTGCAGATCTAAATTTAAATGACTGTCTATGTATTTAACTTAAGCCTTTAATTATTCGTGCTGTACTGTTTTTGGTTCAAATGTTAAATATTCTTTATTAAGAATATAAAATTGTTTCAGACAGTTTGAAACCGATGATGTTAACATGACAACAATTAGTAGTATTAACATATTTTTCCAGGTGTGCAAAATGTAATAGACAGGGTATAATATCCTGCCACAGTAATATGTTTCTATTTTTTCTGTTTGTTTGGTAAATAATAAAAAGGTTCTAATTAAAAGGAAAAGACTGTTGGGTGGTTAATTCCCTTCTGTTGCTCTTTTTTGTTTAACAAAAGATTAGAAATTAAACAATCAACACTACTTCCTCATTAGTAGATTTTTAAACTGTCTGCAGACAGTTTATGCCTTGTACATCTCTGTCTGAGATCCACTCAGAAAATTAAAGGGTTGTTGATTTTTATTGTTTTCAGTATAAAGAGCCAAAATAAAACAGTAACAACAGAAACAATTAGAGTATCCTAAATGCTGTCACTGCCAATTGAACTTCTGTATTTGGCAAAGTTCCCAAATAAGTAGAAATTATTTCTGCTTATTGTGTAGTTCAGTGATACAGATATCATGCTAATAATAAAGCCCAAATCTTTCCACCTTATGAACTTTTTTTGTGTGTGGGAAACATTCACAGAGAAAGGTAAAAAGAGTAAATAAAATCCATAGACCTATGTACATTTTATCCCGAGAAAATGTATGACAAGGTAAATTTCTGACATTGAAAATGTGTATGAATGGGATTTACAGTTAAAATTGGCAAATGCATTTATAAAAATATTTGCAAACATAACAGAAGTCATATTACTCTACTCATTTTATTTCTATCAGAATGCATTTTGTCAGTATTGCTATC